CTCTCTCTGGTACTGCGCCCACTGCGGTCTCGCACACCTTCACCCTTGACTCAGGAGCTTCCCGCTCCTTCTTTCGCGACTGCACCGCACTTACGCCGCTCCGTCGGCCAGTCCCGGTCTCCCTGGCGGACCCCTCTGGGGGTCCAGTCCTTGCCCACTATTCCACGGTTCTGCCGTGTCCGGCCGTCCCGTCCGGCTCGCTGTCAGGTCTTTACCTCCCCTCGTTCTCTACGAACTTGGTGAGTGGAGCTGACCTCCAGGATGGGGGGGTTGACCAGTTCACTCCTGCGAGTCAGCGAGTGACTCACTGTACGTGTGCTAGGACGGGCCGGCACTTGGCCACGTTCACCCGTGCACCTGGCTCGAGTCTGTACACACTGACCACTGAGTCCCCTCAGGTAGCTGCGTCTGCGTTTGCGTCTGCGTCTGGTCAGCTGGCGGCCCCCTGCGAGTGTCGCGCTTTGTCGCACGACACTCTCCTGTGGCACCACCGCCTTGGTCACCCCTCCTTGCCTCGCCTGCGTAGCATGCACTCTCGCTCCCTGGTCTCTGGTCTTCCCAGGTCCCTGCCTGCCCTCCCTCCCTCGCCTGCGCCGCCCTGCATTCCTTGCGTCGAGGGGCGGCAGCGCGCCGCTCCTCACTCCTCCTCGTTTCCTCCCACAGAGGCTCCACTGCAGACGCTCCATCTGGACGTGTGGGGCCCAGCCCGCGTCCAGGGACAGGGCCGCGAGCGGTACTTCCTGCTGGTCGTCGACGACTACACGCGTTACACCACGGTCTTCCCCTTGCAGAGCAAGGGGGACGTCCCTGCTGTTTTGATCCCCTGGATCCGCGCTGTTCGTCTCCAGCTCCGCGAGCGGTTCCGGTCGGACTTTCCTGTCCTGCGTCTGCACTCTGACAGAGGTGGTGAGTTCTCCTCCGACCTCTTGGCAGCCTACTGTGCGGAGCACGGCATCACCCAGTCGTTCACGCTTCCGGCCTCTCCGCAGCAGAATGGGGTTGCTGAGCGCCGCATTGGCTTAGTCATGGAGGTCGCTCGTACCTCCATGATCCATGCGGCTGCCCCCCATTTTCTGTGGCCGTTTGCGGTCCGGTACGCCGCGCATCAGCTCAACCTCTGGCCCCGTGTCTCCTTGCCGGAGACCTCGCCCACACTGCTGTGGACGGGGAAGGTTGGCGATGCGTCGCGTTTCCGGGTCTGGGGTGCTCGTGCCTTTGTCCGCGATACCACCGCGGACAAGCTCTCCGCCCGCGCTGTTCCCTGTGTCTTCCTTGGCTTTGTCCCTGACGCGCCTGGTTGGCAGTTTTACCACCCCACCTCGCGCCGTGTCTTTGCGTCTCAGGACGTCACGTTCGACGAGTCGGTTCCCTTTTACCGTCTCTTCCCCTACCGCACTGCCTCGCTCCCCCCCCCGCCGCTCTTCCTTGCTCCAGGTGCTCCCCAGGTAGACCCCCTCCCCGCTCCCGGTCCTGCTCCTTCAGGTGTTTCTCAGGTAGACCCTCCTCCCTTGACTGCGCCGGTTGAGGTCACTGGTGACTCAGGTCCTCCTGCGAGTGGTCCTGCTCGGGGTGCTGAGCCTGGGGGTGCTGAGTCTGGGGGTACTGAGCCTGAGGGTGCGGAGCTTGAGGGTGTAGAGCCTGGTGGTGCTGAGCCTGCGTGTGAGGGGTCTGGGGGTGCTGAGCTTGGCGGTACTGACGCTGGAGGTTCTGGAGCTACTGAGGGTGCTCGCGCTGGAGGTTCTGGAGTCGCTGGAGGTACTGGTGCTGAGGGTACTGACACCGGAGGTTCTGGAGCCGTTGGGGGTGCGGGCGCTGAGGGTTCTGAGTCTGCTGTTGCGCGGTCTCCTTGGAGTGGCCGCCTTCGTCCCCGTGTGCCTCTCACCCCACAGCAGCTGCAGGACTGGTACGGTCGCCGTCAGCGTCGCGCTGCTGGAGCTCGGAGTCGTGCTGGTCCTTTGTCTACTGGAGGTGCTGGAGTTGCTGGTTCTGGAGGGGCTCGTGCTGGAGACACTGAGGCTGGAGACCCTTGGACTGGAGGTGCTGGCTCTGGGGGTGCTGCTGCTGGAGACGCTGAGGTTGGAGACCCTGGAGCTGGAGGTGCTGGTTCTGGGGGTGCTACTGCTGGAGACCCTGCGGTTGGAGACCCTGGGACTGGAGGTGCTGGTTCTGGGGGTGCTGCTGCTGGAGACACAGAGGTTGGAGACCCTGGGACTCGAGGTGTCGGCTCTGGGCCTGGAGCTTCTGGAGCTGCTGGAGGTACTGGAGCTGCTGGAGGTACTGGAGCTGCTGGAGGCACTGGAGCTGCTGGAGCTGCTGGTTCTGGTGCAGCTGCGCCGACACGACTGTTCTTCGCTCCGCCGTCTCCGTCGTCTCTGCCGCCGTCTGCCTCTGTTCTTCGTCAGGTTCTTACTCTTCCGTCGTCTACTGGTCTTCCGTTACAGACTGGCTCGCCGCTGCCTGCTCCTTCTCCTTACGCTGAGCTGACTGGTAGTCCTGCTGTGCGTCGTGAGCCTGCGTCGCGTCCTGTCTCGCCTGCTCGTCCTGGTCGTACCGGTCCTCGTGTTCCTCGTTCGCGTCCGCCGGCTGTCCCCAGCGCGCACCTCGTAGTCCGTCGTCCTTCCTCTGTTCCGCAGCCTGTTCCTCTGCCGTCTCCTCCTGCGTCCTCTTTGCCTGACGTTCCGGACCCTGCGTCTGACCGGTTTCGTGCTCAGCACCCTACTGTCACGCGTCTACTAGCCACAGTTGTCACTGACCCGTCGTTTGAGTCTGCTGCTGCGTCTGCTCTTGTCGCTGAGCTTGTTGACTTTGCTGCTGCCTGTCGTCTAGACTTCACTGCCAGTCTTGTTACTGAGTCTGAGTCTGTCTGTCCTCCGTCCGTCGGGGGTGAGTGTGCTCTTAGCACGGACGTCCTTGAGGACAGGCAGGAGGAGTTCCAGTGTCTTGCTGCTGCTTTACCTCATCTTGTGTCCTCGCTACTTGCCCCTGAGGGAGACCCGGATGCACCAGACATCCCGACTCCGCGCTCTTACGCAGAGGCGATAGAGGGTCCCTACTCCTCTCAGTGGCAGGCAGCCATGGACGCAGAGATGGCTTCCTGGAAGTCCACAGGCACCTACGTTGACGAGGTTCCCCCACCTGGGGCGAACATCGTCAGTGGCATGTGGATTTTCAGGGTGAAGCGGCCGCCGGGTTCTCCGCCTGTCTTCAAGGCGCGTTACGTGGCTCGAGGCTTCAGTCAGCGAGAGGGAGTTGACTTCTTCCAGACCTTCTCCCCCACCCCGAAGATGACCACTCTTCGGGTGCTGCTGCATGTTGCTGCTCACCGTGACTACGAGCTTCACTCTCTTGACTTCAGCACAGCTTTCTTGCAGGGCAGCCTGCACGAGGAGATCTGGCTGCGCCGCCCCCCGGGCTTCACTGGGTCGTTCCCTCCTGGCACCCAGTGGAGCCTCCGGCGGCCGGTCTATGGTCTCCGCCAGGCGCCACGTGAGTGGCACGACACACTGAGGACTACGCTTGCGGCTCTTGGGTTTGCGCCTTCTACTGCTGACCCGTCGCTGTTTCTGCGCACCGACACTTCCCTGCCGCCGTTCTACATCCTCGTGTATGTCGACGACTTGGTTTTTGCCACTGCTGACACTGAGGCTCTCGCCCACGTGAAGTCGGAGCTGCAGAAGAGACACACGTGCACAGACTTGGGTGAGCTGCGCAGCTACCTTGGCTTGCAGATCACCCGAGACAGAGCACGTCGCACCATCACCTTGACTCAGTCACACATGGTGCAGCAGGTCCTTCAGCGCTTCGGCTTCACCTGGTCTTCAGCACAGGCCACTCCTCTGGCTACAGGTCACACGCTCTCAGCTCCACCTTCGGACGAGTCCGTAGAGCCGAGTGGTCCTTACCCAGAGCTAGTCGGCTGCCTCATGTACCTGATGACTTGCACTCGACCTGACCTCGCATACCCTCTTGGTCTCCTGGCTCGCTACGTGGCTCCTGGTCGGCACCGACCTGAGCACATGGCTGCTGCTAAGAGGGTACTGCGTTACTTGTGCAGCACATCAGGCATGGGGCTAGTGCTTGGAGGGACGAGCCCAGTTGTCCTCACTGGGCACTCAGACGCTTCTTGGGTTGACGACCTGGCTACTCAGCGGTCGTCACAGGGTTACACCTTCAGCCTTGGCTCTGGTTCAGTTTCGTGGCGTTCTACACGCTCGACTTCAGTTCTCGGCTCCAGTTGTGAGGCTGAGATCTACGCCACCGCCATGGCTGCACAGGAGTTACGCTGGCTCACCTACCTGCTGACTGACTTGGGAGAGCAGCCTCGTTCTCCTCCAGTGCTGTACGTTGACAACAAGGCCGCCATTGCCTTGTGTGAGGAGCACAGACTGGAGCACAGAACGAAGCACATTGCTCTGCGGTACTTCCTGGCTCGAGAGTTGCAGCAGCGAGGCCAGCTTCGTCTTCGCCACGTGGCCACTCGGGCCAACACTGCTGACATATTCACCAAGGCACTTCCGTCTGGTGATCATCAGCGCTTTTGTACTCTGTTAGGCCTTGTGCCTACGTTTCCACACTTGCTGTAGTCTCTGCTTGTACTGTGATCTGTACATATATATATATATATGCATGCTGGCTCTTGCTAGGTAGCCATCACTGTACTGTTATTGCTGCATATATATCTCTGCATGTGAACTGGCCCAGTGGCCCTTTGCTTGTGCTCAGAATGCGTGGTGACGTTGTGATCCACCCTGAGCTTGTTTTGCTTCTCTTGACTGGTCGTGTGACCCCTTGTTCTCCCCCACTTTGCCTATGGGGGTGTGTCAAACTATATGTGCTGCATATTGTCTAGGCTGTAGTGGGGTAGCCCATATGGGGTACAACCTAGTTAGGGTTTACTACTTGTACTCCTGCATCCTGTTAGTTCATCCATTCCTGCTGCTAGATTCTAACAGAAACCAATGCTGCCGTTCCATAATAATCACCAGTGTGTCATGTTCTGATCAGTGTCGATGCAGCTTGACGAAGATCACGATGATAATAGCGAGGATGAGCACGATGAGGATGAAGATGGAAATCCACTTGTTGCGGTTCATGCGGCGTGCCATGGAGTTGAGAATCTGACGGCCACGGTCAATGCTTGCATCCACACCATACAGCTGCAAGCGGTAATGTTACAAACACGGACACATTGAGGTGAGCAAGAAGTTTGAAACACACCAACAGTGCCACGAACCTAGTGGATGCCAATCCAGATGGATATGAACATGGCTGATAAATATGCAAAGTATCAGAACCAACAGACCCCTTCTTTCAGCTACTCATTGGTCCAGCACCTCACTGCAGAACAGCATCCCCCTCAGTCACACACAACAGAGGTGCCCAGCTCACGTTATCGCGTGCGTTGAGCAGTGTCTGGCGCTGGTTGTGCAGATCCTCCAGAATGCTCACTCCCAGCTCCTCTGTCTCCAGCAGCGCTCGCTTGCTCGCCTCCAGCCTCTGCGACGACTCCCCCAGCTGCTCCGTTGCTCCCAGCAGCCGCATGCGCTGCGCTCCTGTTGCCTGCAGGGCTCAGAATAAGGTGACAGTAGACGTTAGTCAGGGGACGTGATGGGACACGAAGTGCAGAGGAGGAGGCTGATGGGGGTAGCATAAGGAGGTGGGACGGAGCTACGGGATGCTAAGGTGAGGGAAGATGCACCATGAGAAGAGGGGATGCGTAGAGAGGGGAAGGTGGGTGAAGAAGTGGATAGATAGAGGACAAGAGAGCATTGAGCTATGCAACGATCTGAAAATTCGTTGAAAAGTCCAATTGCAAGCCCATCTGTTCCAACCACATGCCAACCACACATTCACCATTAGCCAACCTTCACTCCCCCACCCGCATCAGTTCAAACCAAACCAGCAACCAGACCCCAATCCACCCAGCAGCACTCACTCAAACTGCACTCCACCTACCGCCAGCTCTTCCTGCGACATGCCCTCCCCCGGCTGCCCCCCCGCGTTCCCCAGTAGCTGGTCCCTGGCGGCCTCGCTGGCAGAGGCAGCGGCATCCTGCAGCGCTCTCTGCAGGTCGCGGCGCAGTGTCTGCAGGTCCGCCTTGTACTCGCGCAGCTTCACCAGCAGCGCCGCCTTCTGTGCTGCTGCCAGGCTTCGCGCCTCCAAGTCCATGCGCCGGATCTGAGGGGGAGCAAGGGCGGTTGGGAAAGGAGGGGGGGAAGAGAGGAGAGAGGGAATAGCGTTTTGTACTCGCGCAGCTTCACCAGCAGCAGGAAAGCCTTTTGCGCCGCTGCCAGGCTACACGCCTCCAAGTCCATGCGCCGGATTTGAGGAGAGGGGGGAAAGGAAAGAGGGGGTGGAGCATGAGGGGAAGGGGGGCCGGGGAGAGGGGAAAGGAAAGAGGAGTAAAGTTACGTGAGCGCCTTACATTCACGCAGCTTCTGCGCCACTGGCGAACCACGCGAGGCGCTGCATCCAGGTGTTTTTTTTCAGATAAACATGAACAATTTGGGCGACAGTCCTTAAGACAAGAGTATCCGATGGGAAGAGGCGGACGGGAGAAGGCGAGGGGAGTGGGACTTACGAGGGAGTCGGCCTCTTCCAACAAGGCATTGACTTCCTTGGCTCGTTGGTCCCTGGCATCTGCAGCACACGTCCATGCACACACAGAGGCATATGCCAACACAGGTGCACATACATGGACGGACACACATGCACATGCATCCAGATACATGCAAATTCGTGCACAAGCATGCACATGGATGCACATCGGTGCACATGTATAAACAAACAGATGAGCAGACGACACGCACACGACATGCATGAGACAGGCATGCACACAGTACTGTGCATGAAGCACCTCAAACGAGACCCACGGAAAGTAGAGAGCGATTGAGAGACGCATAGTAGGCATATTGGTTCGCAGCGCACAAAGCGACGGCTAATGGAGAAGGTCACGCTGGGCGAAGAGTCTACCAGACTCGTGTCCCTTGCTTGTGCTCGCTGCTATGTTCCGATGATGCGCGAGGTGAAGCCGCGGAGAACGAAAAAACGGAACACTGTTGAGCGGATCACGTACTGCAGAGACCTACAAGCGGGTGGCTTTGAGAAACGGAATTGGCTGGAGTGGGTGGGAGTAGATACCTACCACACTGGCACTGGCAGCATCATCCAATTCGAAGCGCATAAGAAGCAATTTTCTTACACCAATCTCTTGACTATTCTCTTCCGGTTTATTATCTTCAGCGGACGACAATAGATCGTGCCTGGAGGGAGAGGGAGTGCCAAGGAGGCAGCGACGTCACGACTCATACCTGCCGGTAAGGAAGGGATAGCCGCTGCTTGACGCTTCGCGTTCCCCGAAATCTCGCAATACCGCCTCTCGTACTCGCCGAAAACCTCGCTCATCTTCGCCTGTAGCTGAGGAGTCGCGGACAAGAATAGTACTGCGATGCCACGAAAATTCTACGAATCCGTTGGTTCTTCAAAGCTTCAAGCTGAGCCTGAGATTCTGTTACGAATGCCTTGACTGGAAGATTGCGTCGAAACGCTCGATGAATCACAAGTCGTCTGCGATTAACGTGCCGTTTCGTGGTCGCCGCTCTTTCAGCATCTAGTAGTAGCTTGTCCTAGAGTTACCCAGACTTCCGACGGAACGGCACAGCGACAGACGACGACCCTGACGACGCTGAGTTTCGACGCTCGTATCGTCACTAACAGAGAGCAACGACAGACAACCGCTGGCTGAAACAGGCGAGGCGAGGCGATCAGTGCATCAGAAGGTGTTGCTGTGGGTTTGAGCAGCCAGTGTCCGAGTACAAATCTTTGCAGGGTGCAAGGCCTGCTCACATCGTTCAAGCAGGAGAAAATCGATAATCAGGGACCGCCTGACACACGACTATACAGTGCAGTACCGCGCACCCCACACCACTTCACTCCTAGGGTGCGTTCCTGGCTAGTGTCAAGCTTCCGGTCATCCGCGGATGACCGGAAGTTGGACCCACTTTGGGCCATCCGAGACCAACTTCGGGTCTTCCGGCCCAAAATTGCCCCTGTTTCCAGAAGACCTGAAGTTTGAGAGCAAGTTTGACCCAAAGCTTCGGGCCTTCCCGGGAAGGCCTGAAGCTTGACACGCGCCAGGAACGCACCCCTAGTCCATTGTGGTTGGAAGTTGTTGGTTTGGTGTCCGTTGGGCACTGGTACTGCAACACACATGACGTACGCGTTGGGTTGTGTTGGGTTTCAGTGGGGGTGTGGAGGAGGTATGAGTTGTAACCTCGCTATGCATATAGCCTAGCTTGAATTCGCACATTACCGCTTCCTATAATTCTTTTTTGCAATCTAATGCTGGCTCACACATGCCCATGAATGTTCCCTTTGATGCGATCCTGCTCGTTCAGTTGCACCCACGACAGATCAATTTATTATATTTTTCCCCATATGTGAAGTCTTTGTTTTGCTTGTTCCATTGGACGTGTAGTGTGGCGACTACCTGTACCACCGGTAGTCTCCCTATTGAGCTAATAAATCATGTACTTTATTGAGTTATCTACAGTTATAGGGAAAAAACACGAGCCTTTAGGATTCGAATTCAATTCAGTGTGAAAATCAAGAAAACGTTTCACTTCATCGAGGCACACAAACCTACAGGTATGCAACAACATGACTTTCACGGTGGTACATACGGTACAACAGAACCCACGTGGCAAGAAATGTCTCATAATTAAGAAATGCAAGGTGGCTAGGGTCATGGAAGCAGAGCTTGCTTGGAAGCTGCAGCAAGGAGATGGACAACTGTAAACTATTAGGTTGCAATCATCCGCAGCAACAACCTCATGGTTGGCCTCGCATGGCCCATCTAGGGGAGTAGCGACCACTCGCATCGCCAAAACGTTCGGTGGTGGTGTAACCATAACGACCACCATCCCTAAGTGCTCTACTGTTACCGTTACCGGTACCAGCACCAGCAGTATAATCAACAGTCCCAGCAACAGTAGCATCAACACCACTAGCAAGCACTCCAGCAGCGTCAACACCACTGGCAAGGAATCCAGAGCTATAGTAGCCGTAGCTCCTGCCATTATCTGTCACTGTGCCTCCGAATCCAGGGGCACCGCCATTCTTGTGTGCTTCACCTTCAGAGAGGATTCTGGTAGGAGACCTATGGGGCGAACGTAAGGGGGACTGGGATGGGTGCAAAGGGGAGGGGGACTGGTGCAAAGGGGAGGGGGAGTGGTGCAAAGGGGACTGGGATGGGAGGTGTGGCGAGCGGAGGGGAGACATGTGCGGGGACCTGGTGGGGGAACGCAGCGGCGACATATATGGCTGTGCAGAAATAGCAGGTCCAGCAGCCATGTCTGCTGGTACGTTTCTAGGATACTCTGACCAATGCAGCTCCCTTCCCTGTGCTTGACGCTCCATTTTCTCTTCCTCCACTCTCCCTTCATCCATCCTCCCTTCCCCCATTCTCCTTCCAGACAATGCTTTCCCATTCGACCCCCCTCTGATGTCTTCACCTCTATATACTCCTCCCCCTCCTCGTCCCGCATCTGCTGCTGCATCCATTTGCCACTGCTGCTGCTGCTGCCTCTGCCATGACTTATCCTCCTCGCGTCTCACACGCCCCTCCTCATGCACCCATCTCTCACCATTCCTACCTGGCGAACCCTCCAATACATGCTCCTCATCCCCCCATCTCTCACCTCTCTCCCTTCGCTGCACAAACTCCTCTCCGCCCCTCCTGCCAGATCCTCCCCCCCCATCTCTCTGCGCACTTCCGCCTGAACCCCCGCGCTTCAGCGAACCCCCTCTCTCCATCTTCCCTTCATCTCTCTCCCTCCCCCGCGACCCTGTCCGCTCACATGGGCTTCCCCCTCTCTCTCGCCCGCTCATTCCCCCCTCGTCCGCCTCCCGCCTGCCATGACTCCCCGTTCTCCGCCACCCGCTCCTGTCCGTCCCATCCCCCTCAGCCATGCCTCTCCGCCCTCCGCCCTCCGCCAGCCCCGCGAGCGCCGCCGCGTCCCCTCCACGCCCGCCCGCGCGCCGCTCCGCGAGGCGCTCGCGAATCTCCACGAGCGCGCGCACCACGGCGGTCATGGCGGGGCGGGTCTTCGTGGGGCGCACGCACTGCAGCGCGATCTCGAACACGTGGAGCAGCGCGATTGGATCGTATTCTCCGCCCATGCGCGCGTCCGCAACCTCCTCCACCACCCCATACTGCACGTACGGCGCAACCCACTGGGAAATATGCACCGGATCGCTCCCATCCGCGCCTACAGGAACCCCTGGCATCCCCGGAATTCCCGCGGCCCTTCTTCCGCCGCCTCGTCCCCCAGCGTCCGCTTCCGCCTCCGCCTTCCGCCCGTGCTGCTGGTTCGCTCCGCCCGCGCAAGCGGGTTTCCCCATGAGGATTGCGCGCTGGCCGGTAAAGAGTTCGAGCAGCACCACTCCGAAGCTGTAAACATCCCCCTTAGTAGTCACCTTCGATGTAAGGTGGTAGTCGGGGTCGAGATACCCCGGCGTTCCCGCGACGCGAGTGAACGCGGCCTGTACCGTGCCCTGCGCGCCGCCGCCGTCTATGAGGTTCTTAAGGAGGCCGAAATCGCCTAGCTTCGCTAATAGCTTGTCGTCCAGAAGGATATTATCGGGTTTCACGTCGCGGTGCACTATGGGCGGTGACGTGGCAGTATGAAGGTAATTAAGCGCCTCGGCGGTTCCCACGGCGATCTCGAGCCGCTTGTCGAAGGTCAAGTGCGGCTGGCCGCGCACGAGAGCCGACCCAAGGGACCCGTGCGGCGCGAACTCGTAGATTAAAATATGCTCACCACCTTCCACGCAGAACCCTAGCAAGCGTATAAGATTCTTATGAGACAGTCGCGAGATCACGAGCACTTCGTTCTCGAAGTCCAGCGCGCCCGCGGAGCCCGCGGGGAGGCTGCGCTTGGTGCGCTTGACCGCCCACGTCGTGCCGTGGGGCCCGCGCCCGCGGTACACGACGGCGAAGGCGCCCTCGCCCAGCACGTGGCGGCGGCTGAACTGCCCCGTGGCCACGCGCACCTCGTCCAATGGCACCTTGCGGAATAGCACCGCCTTCAGCTGCTGCTCCCACTCCGACTCCTCCTCCTGCTTCGCCTGCTGCTGCTGCTGCTGCTGCTGCTGCTGCTGATGCTGCTGCTGCTGCTGTTGTTGTTGCTGCTGCTGTTGCTGCTGCTGTTGCTGTTGCTGTTGCTGTTGCTGCTGTTGCTGTTGCTGCTGCTGCTGCTGTTGCTGTTGATGCTGCTGTTGTTGGTGGTACTGATGAGGAAGCTGTTGTTGTTGCGGCGCGCCCATTGCACCGTTATACCCAGAGGGAACTGCTCCCAGCCGGCCCGGACTCGCCATCCTCCCTGGCATTACTACCCCTGCCCCTCCTGCTGCGGGGACCATTGCGCCGATCGGCGGCGCGAGCGGATGCCGCGGTGACCGCATCGCCGCTGCCGCGTGGTGGGGCGCAGCAGATGGCGGGGGGAGCGGCGGGTGAAAAGCGTGCGGCGGAGGCAGAAGTTCTGTCTGGTTTGGGTATGCGCCTGCCCCACGGGGAAGCGAGTGTGAGCCGGCACTACTTACGTGGTAAGCGCCAATATCGCCGCCGCCGCCGACGCCGCCACCTGGGAAGGCACGGCCGGGGCCGCCCAAATGGCTTCCAACGGAGGAGGGAGAGGCGGCGCGGGGAGGGTATTTCATCGAAGCCGACGGATGGAGATAGGATTGATCGTAGCCATTAACGCTTGCGTGAAACGAACCGCCAAGATGATGCGAAGAGTGTCCCACGGAGAGCGATTTATGGGGTCCAATGGCCGCTGGGCTGATTCTATCTTTGCGCTTGCGGCGGCGAAAGCAGCAGCAGTAGATGCAGGCGGCGAGGAGGCCAAATAAAAATGTCACTACGCCTGCTCCTATCCCGATTAGCGCCTCAACTGAGAGGCTTAAGGGCCCTATCCGCACCATGATGAAAGAGTTTCCAGCGGCAGGGCGTGTTGCGCGTTCCTAGGACGACGGAGAAGGTAAGAAAGATATGGGTCAAAGCTGTAAGGTTCCGAAGAGTGGAGTGGGATTGTATACTTGGTGTGCGCTAGTCACGCTTCTTTTGCTACCACCTGCTTGAGCCTACTTTCGAAAAGTCTGCGTCCGATTATTTCTAAGAAACCCGCATGCTCGCAGACGCTCCTATGAACATCGAAGGGTAGGAAGCATCGTCAGGCTCCATCTTCGCTAGGTACTTGGGAGAATGGGCTATGCAATCTCTATACCTGCATGTTTCTCTAAATCGTTTCTTGACTCGCCCGCCGAGGTCATGTTCGAAGCAATAGCTGGATACTCTAAACCGAGAAGACCTGTTGGAAGCATGAGAGCATAGAAACGGAGGGACCAAGCAGCGAGGAGATTACGGTTCTACCTACCGCGCTGTGACGGCGACCACCGCAAGACCGCGCTGTCGTAAGGCGTCATTTGCGGAGCATGTGGAAAGCGGTCGATCAAACGACTCGTCGTTCGTGTTATTAGCAGCTCTCCCAGGGTGGATGTCACCACTTGGTGATGTGTGCTTGTCAGGGACATTGAGAATGTGTGATGTCCCCTGTGTATGGCTCGACTGTGAGTCAACTGCGGTCCAGAGAATGCAAGAAGACGAACACGTTGATGCTCTCCTACCAACTGCATGTAGGGAGGAAGACGGAGTGCCAGATTGTTGGCCCACGTTCTCGGATTTCGAACCGCAATGTTGAATGGAGCATAGCAACCGTGCGCCGGGTCGCCTGCCGAGAGGGAGAACGCGGTTCGCATCTAGGTAATTTGGTGGCGGGAAGTGTGCAAAAAACAGTGCGCAGAATGCAATAACGCGGAAGTGATTCCAAGAACACCATGAATAATGAAGCCTATAAGAGATATAGAGAAGGCTACCTAGTCTAGGTTTGCAGGACCGCTAAAAGTATAGTAACTGAACGCGTACAAGCTGACATAATAAGGAATAAGAAAATTTCCTTACACGAAACCCAACTTTAAGAAAGGTGGCCAACACCAGGCACGCTGAAAATCATTCCTTTTGCTGTGAGCAAGAGACTTTGTGGATGCTCAAATAGTCCTCGTTATGGAGCTTCCTCAGTGTATAAAAATCTCCATTCATTACTGCGTAAACCACTTACAGTACAGCAACTCCAAAGGGTCCCCCCGTCTACTGGTAAGTCTGAGTAGAGTAGGCCTTCATTTGTATAGAAACTCTGTAATAAAATAATCGATATTACATTTTCTGCGCACTTACAACATTATCGCCGTGGCCACCATCGCATCAGTAACCCCCAAAGTCCAAGCCGGCGCCTCACTGGTCTTGGGATTCGGGAAGATTTCCTGGCCACAGATTAGTAGCTACCAACCTTACTTCTAGCCTCGAATCGGAAACCTTTTCCCTGAACATTGCAGGATCTGATCGTTCTCTCACGGACAGCGAGTTTTTTCGCGTTCGGTTTCTCGCGAATCGTGCGCACCAGCAATTCAAACAGACCAATTTTCAAATCAGATCAGATCAGGTTTCGCTGGCCGGGGTCGCGCGCTCAAAATCGACTGGTATTGCATTCACATTCGTCCTTCCGATTCCCAAGCATTGACTACGCGTCAATCAATGGATGCCGCCGCAATCTCACCGCTCCAGCAGCAAGCAGTCACCGCACTGCAAAGCCACCGCTCGACGGATGTTCGGTCGTCCAAAACCGGCTCGGGACGTGTAACCGGACGGAAAACGCTAGCCCGATATTTTCGCCGTCAAATAAATCCCGCGCGTCAGTCGCGCGAGTGCTGCCATTTATCACACCCTGCGAGCCCCCCGTCCACTCTCGTTTCTCTCTCCGCTCCCTCTCCTCTGTCTTCCCGCTCTCTCCCCTCTCCTCCTTCTCTTTTCTCGCCGCGTCGCGTATCGTCCCTCTCACCTGCGCGCGCCGCTTGTACCATCCGCCCGCTGCTCATCTTCGCCATAGCCCTCCTCGTTCTGGCGCCGAGCCGCGCGCCGCAGTGCGCGGCGGAGTCGGCTGCGCGCGCGTTCAAGCGGCCGCGCGGGATGCTGTCGCCGTGGCACCACGGGCCGTTCGAGGAGGTGCGCACGGTGGTGGCGCGCTCCATCGACACGCTGCTCTTCCACAGCACTGACGTGAGAACCTCGAGAGGGGGAGGGCCAAGAGCGGGGGGAGAGGGAAGCGGGGGGACGGGGGAGGGGGGGAGGGGATGGTGGGAGAGGTTGTTGGTGTGCTTGTTTTTCTTTGAAACGGGTTTTTTCAATCAATCGATATGCGGCTGTTTTCACAACATAGACGTGAGAGCCACGTTGGAGGGGGGGCCAGGGAAAGAGGTTTGGGTCGGGGAAAAATGGAATGATCGGTGATGGTGTTGGTGGGAAGAGTGGGGGAGTGAAGCGAAGGTTCATGGACAAGCTAAGGGCGCGGGGTGGGAGGGGTTGGGGAGGTGAGGGGAGGGGTTTCAGGGGAAGGGGAAAGGTGGGAGATTGTTGATATTGAGGACCTCAAAGTGCAGGAGGTCCGCTTCTGGCGACTTTTGAGCCAAATCAGCCTATCCACTCTCCTCCCCCCACCCCCCACCCCACATCCCTATTTCCCCCTCTCCTCTCCTCCACACATCCCCTCCCCCTGTTCCCTTTCCTTCCCCACACCCCCCCCCACCATCCCCCCCCTACCCGCCGTACCACGGCACCCCCCTTCCGCACATCTCCCCCACCCCCCCAGTCGCCCCTGTCAGTGCCCGTGGAGGTGAGCGTGGTGCTGGTGGGGCTGGACGGCGGCAGTTCCGTTCCCCCCTCTTCCTCTCCCCCCTCTCCCTTCCCCCCACTCGCTGCCTTTCTCTCCCCCCCCCCCCAGTCGCCGCTATCGGTGCCGATGGAGGTGAGCGTGGTGCTGGTGGGGCTGGACGGCGACGAGATGTAAGTGTGCCAGCTCCTTTCATCCTATACGCCTCCTCCCCTTCCCCCCTGTCCCCCCTCCCCACCCCCAGTCGCCCCTATCGGTGCCCATGGAAGTGAGCGTCGTGCTGGTGGGGCTGGACGGCGACGGGATGTTTCCGAGCGAATTTAAGAAGTGTGCCAGCTCTGTTTCCCCCTCCCCCTCTCCCATCCCCTCCCCCTACCCCGTACCGCCTCTCTGCCTGTTCTCCCCCTTCCAGTCGCCCCTATCAGTGCCAGTGGAGGTGAGCGTGGTGCTGGTGGGGCTGGACGGCGACAGATGTCTCTTAGCGATTCTACAAGTGAGGCAGTTCGGATTCCCCCCTCTCCCCCTCCCATTCCTTCCTTCTCCACTTTGCCTGCCTGCTCTGCGTCTCCACCCCCCCCCCAGTCGCCCCTGTCGGTGCCCATGGAGGTGAGCGTGGTGCTGGTGGGGCTGGACGGCGACGGCGCGTACCGTGTGGACGTGGAGGGCGAGCACGTGGAGTACCTGCTGCACCACGGCTTCAGCTACCACCGCCCCGCCTGCTGGGAGACCAAACGCGAGATGCTCGTGCAGCACGAGCTCAGTTACAACGTGGTTAAGGTGGGTGGGGTGAGAGGGAAGGAGGTGGTTTAGGAGGGAGGCGGCTGGGTTGGGAGCTGTGGAGGGTTGTGTGGAGGGATAGGGAAACCAGAGAGACATTGGGGTGGCAGTAGAGGTTCAGGATCGCGAGGGGACCTGTATGTGTGTCCTTTGGAGTAGCACGAATGGGCGTTGTAACATGACACGGCATGCTCATGCTGCTGCTGTTGCTGTTTTTGGTAGTGACAGCTGACGACCATCCATCCATCCATGTGCACCCCTCCTGCCCTTCCTCTCATGTGCTCACAACTCATCCCTGCCTGTCACCATACCTTGTACTCTCTGTTCCCGCCCTCTCCTCCCCCCACCCTTACCTCCCCACATCCTCTCCCCGCCTCTCCACCTCCCCCTCCTCCCGTCAATTCCCTCCTCCCATCCTATTCCAGTTCCCCCCCGCCCTCGTCCTCTCTCCCTCCCAGCTGCCCACACCACATGCCACAGGCGTCTGGGAGAGCCTTGAGTCACTAGATGGCGTCCGCGCCGTTAAAGAAAGCCGTCTCTCCCTTCGCCCTCTGACTCCTCATTCCTCCCTCCCGGCCTCACACAATGCCACATGCAACAGGCATCGGAGGAGAGCCTGGTCTCGCTGGAGAAGGCCGTTCGGTCCAATCTGAAGCTCGCACCCGGCTCTGCTGCTGCTGGTAGCAACACCACGGTACGTTTGCCAGGTTGGGGGTGTGCGCAAGCGTAGGTTCTTGAGAGGTTGTGTGAGGCTGTGAGCAGCAGGGAGCAGGGAGCACACTTGTCCAGCGTGGTGGGAAATTTCACCCGCATCGTGCATCTGGCACCATCCCTCTGTGCTCATTATGAGACGTCTCAACTCAAAATCCACCCTTTTCCATCCGTTCATCATCTTCTCAGGTGTACACAGTGGAGGCAATGAACGAGGTGACTTTTGAGTCGACTCAAAAGTCACCTTCCCAGGTGTACACAGTGGAGGCAATGAACGAGCGAGCATAGAGTCTACGTTGACTACCTTCTGAGGTGCCTCAAGCTACGTCACGAGGATTCAACGAGCATAGAGCCCACGTGTCTAGTGAATCACCTGTGCCTTTTGCCTCTCCACCACCCCGCTGTGTGTTCATGCCCCCACGCCAGGTGTACATAGTGGAGGCAACGAGCAGAGAGCCCACTCTGCTGTATCCCTTAGGTGCCTCAAAAAACACGTCCGCCTTTTTCCTCTGCCTTTTCCTCTCTGGGGGGCATTGACCATATTCTCCACCGCAGTTGTACACAGTGGAGGCCACGAGCATAGAGCCGACGTTCGACCGCATGTACTCGGACCTCTTTGAGCAACCTGCAGAGGGCGAGGGCGAGGAGGGGGGCAGCGCGGGCGAGAACCAGCCGCACAAGGCCATTGCTGTCTTCCTGTGTAACCTCGACAAGGTTCGTAGGTGCACAGTGTGTATGTGATGTGACACATGATGTACACAAAGGTGAAGGAAGGAGGAGGGGGGTAGCGCAGGGGAGAACCAGCCACACAAGGCCATTGCTGTGTTCCTGTGTAACCTCGACAAGGTTCGTAGGTGCACTGCGTGAACGTGTGGGTGGACCATGGAGGAGGGGGTGGGGGTGCGGAAGGGGGATGTGTACCCTTGTGGTACGAGTGTGTGTGATGTATGCAAGGGCGAAGGAGGAAGGAGGCCTCACCTTGGATTGGAGTCAACTCAATTGTCAATTTGCAACGCTCCTGATTCTGCTGCTATCAACTCCTTTCTTCCTGTCCAGGCCAGGCCCCGCCACATGGGGCTGTCTGAGGTAACTACTTATTGCAGGTGTACGAGTACCACCCTTCTTTTCCCTCGTCCTACCATAAAGCTTCTCCCTCCCCTCCCTCCCCTCTGTCCCGCCCCACTCCACTTCTGCCCTTCCCCCTCCCCCATCCCCTTTTCCCTCCCTTTTCCCTCCCTTGTCCGTCTCTACCCACAACCACCTGTCAACCACACTCTCCCACTCCTCTCTCCCCAGACGCGCATGGACCCCTCACGCCCACCGCCCTCAGGCCCGGCCACTTCGGCCTTGACTGAGCAGCAGGTGCAGGAGCAGGAGGGCGGGTACACATATGCGTACTCGTACCACGGCGCAGGGCACGCACAGACGTGGCTCTCACATGCCAGGTGAGCGTTGAGCAGCTTTGGAAGGGGTACTGTATTGTATAGTGTGTTTTGAGTCGACTCAAAACACACGAAAGGGTTACTGTGTTGTATCGTGTGTGGTTGGTTTTTCAGCCACTGCCTCAGCGTGAGAGGTGCAGGAGGGCGAGTACTTGTAGTATGCATACTTGTACCATGGTGCAGGGCATGCAGAGACTTGGGCCATGGCTGTCCCACCCCACCCACGGAAGGTGGGGCTTGATTTAGGTACGGAACGAGGGGACTTTTGTGGCGCCTCAAAAGGAGGGGCTTGACTTAGGTACGGAACGAGGGGGGTTGTGGGCCAGGCGGGTACTCGATGGATACTTGCATGGCATTACTTCTCAAGCACACGCGGGGCTGTCCCACGGCAGTGCGGCTTGAACAGGTCAGGGAACAAGGAGAGTGGAGGCCGGGTACTCAGGTGGCATGCATGCTGGTATGCACAATCACATGCAGACTTGTACAATGGCGCAGGCCGTGGGCAGGGCACGCACAGATGTGGTGGTTACATGGGAGAGGGAAGCATTGTGCTGCCTGAGAAGTGACGGCTTGCTTGCTTTGGGAAGCGATCTAAGTCTTCAAAGAGGCGCATGCAGGAGGAGGATGCATGTGTATGTATGGTACTCTCATGCGAGGGATGGGACGGGCTATGCTTAGCAGCGACTGGGATGGATTCGTTCACTTGAGGCATGTCTGTCTGCCACTCAGCCTACCAGGGCGGACAGAGCTCCAAAGTGAAGGGAAGGTTCTGTGAAAGTGTTAGCCGAATTCAGTCGCCACCGAGATTCTGAACATTCTGAAACGGGACAGTTACAAGTTTTATTCAGCCCCTTGCAATTTACCTATCACCTGACTGGCATGACACCCATGAATCTGTTCCGTCCAGTCCCTCTCTGTCTCCATCCTCTCATCTCATCACCCTCACCACACACACCAACCACCCAGCCCTGCGCGGCACTCTCATATCATATCCTCCTCCACCTTCCTCTACTTTCCAGCCCACCCCATCCATCCGCCGCCCTGTACCCAACCCGTCCTCTCCCTCTGCCCACACCCCAAGCCTTTCCTCCCATCACCCCCCCTCCTCCCTGAACTCTTCACTTCACTCTCCCCTCTCCTCTCCCTCAACGCTCTTCTCTCCCCTCCCTCAACTCTTCCCTCTCTCCTCCCCTAACCCTCCCCCACTGCCCTCCCCCCACGGCAGATACGTGGTAATAGACCTCTCCGCAGGGCCAGTCATGTTCGGCCATCTGGGCGAGGCAGAGGGCGCAGTGGTCCCAGGCACCGTCCCTCGCGTGCGCTCCATGTTCCTGCCCGACCAACCCACTCTCTCCTCCTCCTCCTCAACCGCTGCCGCTGCTGCCGCCGCCGCCGCTGCTGGCAATGCTGGTGGTGCGGCTGCGGCTGCAGTGGCAGCGGCAGCAGCGGCGTCGCTGCACGGGGCAGGGAAGCCGCAGAGCAAGGAGTTCTTCTCGGGTGCGCTGGCGGATGTCGTGTCGTCTGCAGTGGAGCACCTCTTCTCACCTGACGTCCGGTTCGTTGCTCACCCACCCGCTGCCTCTGCCTCTTTTCTACTCGCCCCTCTCCGTCCCTCCGTCCCTCCATCGCTCCGTCCGACCATCCGTTCGAAACAAACCCGTCCTTCTTTTCCCGCACCTTCCCCCTCCTCCTCCAACCCAACCCCTCTCCTCCCCCCCCAACAGATTTTTGAACGTGGACGTGAGTCACAGGGTGCTGGTGGCGGTGATAGTGCTATCCAACCACCGCCACTTCAACCCCCTCGCACCGGGCCACGCCCATTCCATCAACCTGCACCAGCTTGAAGCACAGGTGTGCGAGCGAGCCACGTGGCCAAAGGTGCGAGCCACGTTGCAAAAGGTGCGAGCCGCGTGGCCAACGGTGCGAGGCCCCTCAGTAACAATGAGCCTGAGTCGTTTTCAATACTCTCCGTGGATGCTCCTCCTACTCACATCACACCAACCTCCCCAGCCTCAGTTGCAACTCTGGATTCATGCATGTTATAGTGTATCTCATGTAACAAAAAAGAAGAGAGATTGAAGCATTTCCCCCTGTTCTTCCCTCCTCTCCTCCTCTTCATCTTCCTTTCCTGGTTGCTCCTCTCTCCCCCTCCTTCATCCTTCCAGATCATGGGCATGCTGGTCCCAGGGCAGGAGGTGGTGCTGGTGAACGGGTAGCAAGCCTTAAATCGCTCCCTTCCCTTCCTCCCTCCGTCCACACACCCAACACCTCCCTCTCATCCTCGCAGATCACAGGCATGCTGGCACCGGGGCAGGAGGTGGTGCTGGTGAACAGCTGGCACTCACTGCACGACCACAAGCAGTTTGTCCTCCCTTTCCCTGCCCGTCCGTTCCTCCTTTCCTCCAAATAACCAACTCGGTAACACGTTCCCCCTCCCGTTCTCCCCCCCAGATCACGGGCATGCTAGCCCCAGGGCAGGAGGTGGTGCTGGTGAACGGGTGGCACTCGCTGCACGACCACGAGCGGCTGGCCATGGCAGTGGAGAAGTCCATCCGCCACCACTCCGTGCTGCTCACTCATGCCGATGGCTCCACCTCGCATGGGACCACGAGCTTCCTTGATGCGCCCTACCTGCTGCACGTGAGCTGCTCCTTTGCTCCCTTGCTCCCTCACCTCCCTCCCACACTTGTCAATCTTTCTTATTCAGAGCCAGACCTTTTCCCCCTCCGCTCTACTTTGCCTCAATGTCTGCCTGTATTGCTTCTGCTTATCTCTCCTTCAATCCCCTGTGTTCCCCCCCCCCAACCCATTTCTCCTAAGGGCCCCCACTCCCCCCCCTCCCAACTCCCTGCTCTTCATCCATGCCTCTGCTCGTCTCGTCTTCCCAGCCCTGTTCGTTCCATTCCTCATTCTTTCATTCTACTTCCACAAGTCTGTCGGCGCGCATGCATCCGCTCTGCTAGGCTCATCTCTCACCTCAACCCCACCTCCCCTCCTCCCTCATTCGTTCCTTCCGATTCCTCCCCCCCCCGGCACAGCAATTCCACGAGTCAGCTGACATGCTCGCGTCTGCTCTGCTAGAGGCAGCGCACCCTGCTCTCTCCGCCTCGCTCTTCCTTGAAGACCCGGTCCGTGCCACCCTCAACCTCTTCCTTTAAGGCTTGCCTTGTTGTGCCCGTACCCCTTTCTTATCCCTGCTGCTTGCACAATCCCTTGGTTCTCTTCCTGCCCCTACCTCCTCCACCCCTTGTGAGGCACACGAGCCAAGTCCCCCCGATTAATCGTGCTCTTCTTTCTACCCCTTCCCTGTCCAACCCACCCACCCAACCCCTCCCTCCCCCCTCCCAGGCAGCAGCAGTGGAGGCGGCGGACGAGGCAGCGAGTGCCAGCGAGGAGGACAGTGTGGTGCGCACATCGCCCCCATCCCCTTCCAAGGCCATCTGACTTCTGAAACCCCTCTCCCCTCCGACTTCCCTTCTCCTCCGCTCCCGTCTATCCCCCAACCCCTCTCACCCCCTCCCAGGCAGCAGCAGTGGAGGCGGCGGACGAGGCAGCGAGTGCGAGCGAGGAGGACAGTGTGGTGCGCACATCCCCGCCGTCCCCCTCCAAGGCGCCGCCGCGCCGCACGATACTGCCGGTGAAGCGGTCGTGGGACGCGCACGTGGGGCTGAAGGACCGCACCAAGAGCACTGCTCGCCGTGCCGTGGACGCGGAGCTGGCTAGAGAGCACGGCACACGCGTGCTGCCTGTGTGAGTGCTGCCTTGATGTGCCGCTGTGAGCCTTGATGTGGGAGTGGTTGCGTGTGTTTGTTTGGTCGTGTACTGTGGTGGTGGCTAGCTACCCCCGGTCGCGACATGTGAACCCGGAGACTGTGTGTGTGCGCGCGCCTGAGTTCCTTTAGTCGTGGGACGCGCACGTGGGGCTGAAGGACCGCACCAAGAGCACTGCTCGCCGCGCTGTGGACGCGGAGCTGGCGAGAGAGCACGGCACCCGCGTGCTGCCCGTGTGAGTGCTGCCTTGATGTGCCGCTGTGAGCGTTGATGTGTGAATGGTGCTGTGGTGGTGGAGTTGTGGTGGTGTTGCATTGCTGGTGGTGCTGTGATGTTGCTGTGAGTGCTGCCCGTGTGAGTGGTGCTGTACTGTCTCTATGATAGATGATGATGGCTAGCTACCCTTCATCTCAAACGGTCCTTTATCTCTTTCTGTCTGTCGTCATTCCCAACCCAATGGCCAAGAAGCTCCTCTTGCCACTATGCAACGCATGTCGTTTTTCACGTGCGCTTTTACTCGTCACAAATCACTTCTCAGTTGTGTCCCCCCTCCCCCTTCTCCTTTCGAGACTTTTGTAGAATCGTGAAGACCTTTCCCACTTCTCTTCCTGTCAGCTCGATGCTGTTACTGGCAAGCTTGGATAAACCAGTTCCCGCACTCCATCTCCCCTTTTCCCCTCCCTCCCATATTCACCATCTCTCCACCAGTCAGCTTACTGGTGTCGCTAGCTGATCGTGCCAGAGTAATGCCGACGCCAACTAAATTCACCCTGCTTCCCTCCTCCCTCCTACCTGTGCCTCTCTTCCCCTCACACCATCTTGTCACTGTCAGCTTTGTGCTGTCACTGGCGGGCATAGAGGGGCAGCTGACGATGGCGGATGAGGGGGGGCAGGGTGCAGGGCAGCAGGTGTATGCGGCACCGGACGCCGTGCTGGTGCTGCAGACAGCAGAGAACACCACCGTGCGCACGCGGTAGGTGGTATGAGTGGTGCCGTGCGGTGCAGTGCGTTGTGGTGGTTGGTTCGGATATTGGGTGAATTTTGAGACGGCCCATAAGGGCAGCAGGTGTTTGCAGAGCCAGATGCTGTGCTCATGCCACACATCACCAGCAACCCACACACACAGCATCTGGCTCTGCAGGGGTTAGGGTGTTCCCATGAGGACAGCAGAGAACACCGCCGTGCGCACACCGTGGGTGGCTGGTGATTCATGGTGCAGTGCGGTGCGTTGTGGTGCGGTGGCTGGGTCGGTGCATGGATCGGTGCACGGTGGGTTCAGTGTAAGGGTGCGTGCATGAGTGTGTGTATGTATGTATGTATGTATGTATGTATGTATGTATGTATGTATGTATGTATGTATGTATGTATGTATGTATGTATGTATGTATGTATGTATGTATGTATGTATGTATGTATGTATGTATGTATGTATGTATGTATGTATGTATGTATGTATGTATGTATGTATGTATGTATGTATGTATGTATGTATGTATGTATGTATGTATGTATGTATGTATGTATGTATGTATGTATGTATGTATGTATGTATGTATGTATGTATGTATGTATGTATGTAGGTACGTACATGCGTACGGATGGATGGATGGATGGTTGGATGGATGGAGTGCGTGGAAGGGTCTCATGGCATGGCATGGCAGTATCACTGCTGCAGGCAGAACAGGATTGTGAGGACACCGCGGGTGATCAGTGCTGTGGTGCGGGTGTGTGTTTGTGGGTTTGCCTGGTTTGAATGTTGTACGCTACCTTCTCCTCGTCGCCTCTCTTCTATTGTCCATTCTCTTTCCCACCACTCTTCGCATCGGTGCTTCATTCATACTCCATCTCACCGTCCTTTCCACCATGCCCCGCATCATCCCTCTCACCACTTGTCTCACCATGGTAACCATTCATTCCTCTCATAACATCACTACTGTCATGTCACCATCCCTCTTGTGCCCCTTTCCCTCTCTCTTACTCCTCTCACTAGTTTTTTTTTTCTCTCCGTTTACCCTCCTCCATCGATACCCCCGGTCCCTCTTCCGCTTCTGGCCCGCTCCCGGTCCTCTCGCATCAGGTCAGTTTCCTTCTAACAGGGCCAGCCAGCCTGTGTTCACATCCTCGTTCCTCTCCTCATTAGTCCTCATTCTTCCAAAAACCCCTCTCTATCCCTCTCTCCTCACCGTTGTCTCGTACCAGGTTCGTGTCAGAGGGCCAGCCAGTGTTTGTGTCGCCACAGCACCTGCAGCGCCCACTCACAGCGGGCATAGCAGCGTCACTGGGAGGACTCGTAGCTCCCTATGAAGACCTCAATGTACCGTCAATGCTGCTGCTGCCGCCGCTGCTGCTGCTGCCGCTGCTGCTGCTGCTGCCGCCACTGCCGCTGCTGCTGCTGCCACCGCCACCGCTGCTGCTGCCCTGCTTACACATCCGCTGCACCCCGTTCCTATTTCCCCCTGCTGCCCCGTGCCACTCCTCTTGCCATGCAATACCAATTTCAAACTTCACGCAGTTTGTCCTGCCTCCCCCTCTTTCTAATCGCCTTTGCCACTCTTCTATGCTTGCCTGTGTGTGTTCTGAATCGTCTAAGAAAACTCTTTCCCGTCGCCTCTGCGTGTATGCCTGTACATGCGTGCTTGTGCACGCGTCTGCGTTTGGTGCGCATTCTCCTGCATGCATACCCACCCACACACACGCACACATGCAACACCAGGTGCACAGGCAGCGGAGCATGCGGCGCAGCTGGGTGTGGGCGGTGGGGCACCACCCGTTCGGGCCGGTGTCGAATACGTCGTCTCTGAGCTTGCTGCTGAGGGACAGCATCCTCATGAACGCCGTGTACTCGCGCGTTGACATCTCCCTGCGCTCCCTGCACCGCTGCATCCAGGTGCGGTGAGGGGGAGGGGAGGAGGGGGGGGAAGGGGGGAGAGAGGGGGGAAAGGGGGGCAGGGAAAGTGGGGTTGATGGGGGGAGGGGCAGGGACACTGGTTGATCGAGGTGGCAGGGGCAGGGCAGGGGCCTGTTGCTTTCAGGTGATAGGGTTAGGGGGCCACCACCTGCTGAGCTTGCTGCTGAAGGACAGCATTCTCATGAACGCCGTGTACTCGCGCGTTGACATCTCCCTGCGCTCCCTGCACCGCTGCATCCAGGTGCGGTGAGGGGGAGGGGAGGAAGAGGAGAGGAACTGCTGCATCCACGTGAAGGAGGGGAGTGGGGGCGGGAGGGGATGGGTGAAAAGGGAAGGGAGGTTGAGGGGGGAAGGGGAGGAAGGGATTCCTAACCCTTTCCCTGTCCCAGTTCCAACTCAGTATGCCCCTCCAGCGATGATGCCTGTCTCGCCCTCTCCACTGCCGCCACGGGCCAAAGAGGACTTCTCCAACGCGTACCTTCTCAATTCTAACCCCTTTGATGTTTCTGTTTCCAACTCAATATGCTCCTTACTCCCACACTGCTGCTGTCTCGCCCTCTCCCCTGCCGTTCACAGGCCATAGAGGACTTCTACAACACGTACCTGTTTGTTTCAATTAGCACACCCCTCCCCCGCTGCCTCCCTCCCCCACTGCCGCCTCCCCCTCCCCCTGCTACCGTCACAGGCCATAGAGGACCTTCTCCAACACGGTTCACGCCTAACCTCTTCCCTTCCCCAGTCTTAACTCATTATCCCCTCTCCCCCCACCGCCCCCACTGCCACATCGCCCACCTTCCTGCCACCACAGGCCATAGAGGACTTCTCCCACACGTACCTGTTCACGCCTAACCCCGTTCCTTCCCCAGTTCCAGCTCAATCTGCCCACCCCTCCCCGCTGCCTCCCTCCCCCACTGCCGCCTTCCCCCCCTCCTGCTGCCACCACAGGCCATAGAGGACTTCTCCAACACGTACCTGTTTGCAGCGCTAGGCAACGAGGTGTACCACCCCACGCACTCCGACACGCACGGCAGCAGCAACAGCACGGGCAGCAGTCTCAAAGCCGTGCTCAAGGCGCTGGAGTCGATCTATTCAGACCCGGCGCGGTCCTCGCTGCCCATACCGCACTCTGTGGTGGAGCGACTCACACACAGCCTCAAGGTAATGATGATGAGTGGGCAGGTTAGGTCAAGTTGGACCTGCTAGGGCTGCTGAAGTCAACGGTTTTGTGCTGTTCGTGTGTTGAGGCCTCTCGCGGTCCTCGCTGCCCATACCGCACTCTGTTGTGGGGCGCCTCACACACAGCCTCAAGGTAATGATGAGTGGGCAGGTTAGGTGAACATGGGGACAGCTAGGGGAGCTTTAGTGAATGGGCTGTGTGCTCTTTGAGCAATTCAGGCACTTGAGAAGTAGATGACGGTGTCGCCCCGCTTTTCTGGATCGACTCACACACGTCTCAAGGTAGAGGGTATGGTTCTGTGCTCTGTGTGCCTTTGAAGGTCGTCGGCGTAAGCCCAATCGCAATGGCACAGCACAACAAAGTGCCTTTGATTTGACAGGCACAACCGTCTGTTGTGGATCCCGTCATTCACATCCCATCCAGCGTGGTCGTAGTAGTCGAGTGTGGGAATGTCGTAAACCCCAGTGTCGAGTGTCGAGTGTTAATGCTGAGCTTGCGTTGTCTCAGAACAGAGTGTGGAGGACACACCCTGCCTGCCTCGTTACACCCACCCACACCCCCATGCGCCCCACACCCCTAGTCATCCCACATCCCCAGTCATCCCACATCCCCATGCATGTGGTAACCACCAGGAGAAGGAGCACCGCCTGTCAATCAAATCTCACCTGCCAGATGCACACCACGTTGTTCCTGCATCCACTCCACCGTGTTCATTCCCCTGCATCACATATAACCATTGCCCCCGCATCTCCGGAACCACCACACGTGCCATCCACCAGGAGGCGGAGGAGCATCTATCGAAGCTGAGCTCGCACCTGTACGAGCACGAGCTGGCCGACGCACACCACCTCTCGCGCTCCCTCTTGCACTTCACCCATGGCTTCCACCAGTACGCCCCTCCCCCTCAACCCCTTCCGCACCCTCACACCGCTCAATCCCCCTGCCCTGCTTGAAACCCCTCTTACTCCCACAGTCCCCCTCCCCCGCTTCATAAGCTGCTTCAAGCTTGTGCAGCCTAGTCGGGCACGCTTTGGCGAGATCTTTTGTGTGCCCCTCTTTCTTTGAAACAGCTAACAGCTTGTATTTGGTGCCGTGTGCCATGTGCTGTGCTGCGGCCATGTCACCTCTTGCCCTTGTAGTCCCAGTTCATGCCCTTGTCCCCCGTACGTATCTTCTTGTATTCAATTGCTGGAGTGGAGGGAGTGAAGTGTGAGGAGGGAGAGAAGAGAGGGAGGGGAGCTTTAATTGTCTTCAACACCCAATCTCCGTTATTCCCACAAACAAGCTATGTGGAGAAAGAGCTAACCCCGTGCGCATGCCATGTAGCACTGCCGCATAGGGCACCCCTCTCTCTTTCTTCACCCCTATGCTGTCCCACTCTCTCTTGCTCATCCCCGCCACCACCACACCTCCACCCCACCCCAGCTACGTGGAGGAGGAGCTATCACACGCACACGAGGCCATGCGTTGCTGCCGCATAGAGCACCGCTTCCCCTTGCTCACTCCCATGCACTCCCCATTCCCACTTGCCCCTCCGCTGCCCCACCCCAGCTACGTGGAGGAGGAGCTATCACACGCACACGAGGCGATGCGGTGCTGCCGCATAGAGCACCGCTTCCCCTCGCGCACGGCGGGCGCTCTGCTGTACGGCTCCATCCTGCTGGCGGGCTTTGCCGTGTACTTCCTCGTCATCTTCTTCTCTGCTGCTGAGCACTGACCTGACCCACTCATGCACACGTGTGCGCTGCGCAGCAGCGCCCCGCACTGCCAGTGCCACGCGTACTGTACATGCTGGCAAGCAGGCAATGCTACCTATATGCCGTGTTGCTGTGCTGCCCTATGTACCATGCATGACATAAGCAAGAGGTGGAGAGGGAGAGAGAATGAGCGCATTCCACGTGTACTTTAGGGGATGTTTTCCTCAGAAGGCTAGGTGGATAATACTGGGTTGAACATAGTGAAGCTTGTGAATCTTCAACATATGGTACATACGTAGGTCACAAGTACGACTACTTAGACAAGGTTTACGTTGCCTGAACTTCATGTACTCCTGTAATTTGGTACTAGGTCGCCACAAGGGGAACTCTAACTGCCACTAAAAGCTTCACGTACCGGTACCAACATTCATCCACTCCACATGCAGTAATGCGGAGCATTCAGTCACCTCAAGTTTACTCGAGTCACCGAGGATGATATAAACTCAGCACAAATGGATGGATGCCACACTCACTAACCGCAATCTGGTCCAGTGGCCTTGGCATGCTCAGGCACGTCCACATCCAGTATTGCATATGCACCACACCGAAGCATGCCGGCGCCACACATGCGGAACATGCACACTGCACAGCACCCTCTGTGAGTCCAACTGGCAATAACACATCATGGGTAGGACAGTACGGCACGGTAGGCGCGAGCTTCCAGGTCAGTGGGGGACAGCGATCTGGTCGAGATCCTTGACGTACTCTCGCACGTCCACATGCTGTATGTGCACTGCATCCTCTGCCAGTGCTGGCGGCACAGGTAACCCATCTGACGATGTGGGATGAGGGCAGATGCGATGCGATGGGATGTGATTTGATAAACATGCGTGATAAGTCAGGAAGCGGAAAAGGGTTGACTGCACTGCGTGAACTACTGTACACAGGGTAGTGGTGCGCGTATGTGGAAAACGAGGCACGAGGAAGGAGAAAAGGACATGGAAATGGGTGAGAGGACAAGGGAGGTGGGGGAAGGAATGAGGGTGGGTAGGAAGAGTGAAGGGAGGGGAAGGAGTGGAAGGGAATGGTGATAAATGGAAGGGTTGGACAAGCGTGGAAGAGGTGCATGACGGATTTCCAGTGAGATTTTGAGCGAGATGAGCCAAGGGACGCACATTTCTTTGCGAGTGGGAAGTTCTGGTGCAGAAAGCGCAGAGCGGCACCACTGTTGATGCGATGGAAGATGGGCGGTGGGATTGTCCCCGCCATCCTGCCATGCCACAGGGCGATGGGGGAAATAGAAGAGCACAGGGACATGGGGGGAAACACGGGGGAAGACACGGGGGACATGGAGGGGGACACGGGGGAGCATACAGGGGGAAGGATGCGGAATGGGGGGTGATGAGGTGCGTCAATAGGCAACAAGCAAGCCCTGCCATGGTCACACGTTGTGCGGATACTCTTCATCGCATGTTGTCTCTCAATGCCGCGTGAGAGGAGGGATGGGAGGAGGTTGGTGGATTGATGGATGGAAGCATGCGTACGTACAGCAGAGTTGAAATGGAGGCCAACGAGTGAGGAAGGGCAGAGGGGACGCCGGGAGGAGGGGAGGCAAGGCAAGGACGAGTAAGCCAGGGAGCCATAGAGGAGGGTAGGAGGAAAGGGCATTGGTGCATGAGGGGGTTGAGGGGCTCACTTGGCGCGCTTCATCATGGCAGGTGCCACCAGAGCGAGGTCGGAGGGGTCCTGGTGCGCTGACCCCTGTGGTGTGCGCAGGCAGGGGGGGATGGGGAGGAGTGATGTGCATGGATGAATGAGAAAGTGTGCGAGAGGGAGGGAGGGAGGGAGGGAGGGAGAGAGAGAGAAAAAAAACGAGATAAAGGGTTTGAGGGCTCAGAATTACATGCATGACCAATGCAATCCTTTTCAGCTCATCCTCCCCCTGCACACCACACACCCACACACCACACACATCCTCCCACTCACCACAAGCACAATCAGCTCAGTCACACTCTCCGTCTCCCCATCCCTCCTCCCACTCCCCTTCCTCTCCTCCTCTCCCTCGGTCCCCACCCCCTTCTCCGCCCCTCCCTTCTCCTGCGCTTTCAAAATCTGCAGCCAGCGGTCGTGCCAGGACAGCAGGCGCTGTTTGAGGAACCGCTTCCTCGCCACCACATTGCGAGCCGCGTTCAGCCCCTCTGTGTCGATGCACAGCAGCGCCGCCTTGCCCCCTGCCAGCGCTATCGCCTCCTGCAGAACCGAGTGTGGAGTGCGGTACAAGGAGGTGCAAGGAGGTGCAAGGAGGTGAGAACGGTGGAAGGATGGATGGGTTTTGAGAATGGGAAGCAGCGCTATGAATGCGTTCAGCCCCTCTGTGTCAATGCACAGCAGTGCCGCCTTGCCCCCTGGCAGCGCTATGGCCTCCTGCAAAACACAGGGTGCAGTGCGGTACAAGGGAGTGAGTGTGGGGAAACGTGGAGTGGAAAATGGTGTGTTGGTTAGCAGGAGGGGTGGGGTGGAGCGTGGCAAGCAGCACGGAAAACGGTCATGAGACGTGGATACAATGTTGGAAAATAAGGCAGGGTAGCAGCTGGGGGTAGTTTGAGAACAGGAGGTTGACCAAGAAGGATGGAGAAGGCAAGAGGTTTAGGAAGGCGGGAGGCTGAACAACTGGCAGCAGAAGCAGGGAGAGGACAAAACGCCAGTATAGCAAAACCCATTACTCTCACTCATTACTCTCACACAAACATAATCCAAATTCCAGGCAAAACTCATTCAAACTTTGCTAGGTAGCACAGGCAGAACGTGCACTCCTTCTTACCTCGGGCAACGGGCGCCACCACGTGTCAAGCACCACCACAGATGACACCCGTGACACCAAGGGGCCCTCGCTCCCATCCCCATCCCCCTCGCTGCCACCACCATGCACAGCTGGCGACAGCGACAGGTGGAAGCCGTTGATTGGCTGCTCGGCCACCCCAGCCAGGAAAGCCGCGGTGGCGCCACCGAAGGAGTGGCCTGCGAGGGCTATGTGCGAGAGGTCGAGACGACCCCCGAGCGACGAGGGGAGCAGTCGAGCGGCGCCGGTGATGGCGTTGCGGGAGTCTGGTATCTGCCCGTTGTTGAACTGGTGTAGGAGCGCTAGGATGGACCGCAGTGCTGCCATGCGCTGCAGGGAAGCGGTTGATATAGAGGGAGGAAAGGTGGGGGAAGAGAGGGCGTATGTCAAATTGAAGATGCCTAGCCATAGAAACTGTTTTCTTCCTAACTGAGGGTTTTGGAGCCCCCACCTTTTTTAATGACATGGAGCGATCCAGAAAAAAGGCGGGCGGGGGATGGTGGGGCGAGGGGAGGGGGCGACGAGATGGCGAGTGAGCAGAGGGGTGGGTGAAGTGAAGAGAGGGTGAACTATCTACCTAGATTGGCGGAGCCTTGAGAGTTATCCAACTGCATGCCCTTACACGTGACTGCTCTACAAAATTCGAAGATTACTACACTTCTCTCCCATCCCATACCTGCTGCAGCTGCCGGCGGCGCACGTCCATGCGCTCGTGGGGGGTCAACGAAACAGAGCCGGCGTGTGAACCACCTACCCACCTGGATACTCAACTCAACAGCCTCACTCATTGTGTCCACCCCGTGTCATCTCCCATACCTGCTGCAGCTGCCGGTGTCGCACTTCCATGGGCACTTCAAAGAAGTCCACGTCCATGCGCTCGTGGGGGATCCACTTCACCCTCCCTCCCCTCCCTCCTCCCCGCCCCCCTTCCTCCTCCTCTTCCCCGTCCGTCTCTGCTGCCATGCATGCTGTGCCGTCTGTGTACTCTGGCGCCACCACCACTGGAAGGGAGAGTGGGAAAGGGGAGTGGGGAGTGGGCAAGTGGACAGGGATGGAGCAATGAACCATGCATGCGCTGCCGCCATGCATGCATTGCCAACCGAGTACTCTGGCACCGCCATTAGCCGAAGAAGAGGGTGGGGCGGGAAGGAAGCCACAGAGTTACCTTTTTTTGAGGCGCCTCAAAAATAGCCACCGAGGAGAAGGTTGGGGAAGGAAGAAAGTTACGGAATTCCATTTACCATGCCAGTAAGGCTTGAATTGAGCACCCACAGTGCGAGATTGACTCCTTATGGCCGTGTCAGGTAGGCATTCTTAAGAGCACATAGATGGACACGGACATATGGGCGCACCATAGCCATGGGAGGCGAGATCGAAGCAGAACTGCGTGTATGTGGAGTGCATGAGCCACAGCCCGTGGCTGAACAGACAGACAGACGCACTCACCACAGCCGTGCGAGGCATGCTCCTTCGGACACGCCTCAAATGCTCCACTGGAGCTCACAGTCGCACAGCTGGCTGCAACGGACAGCCGCACCGATGGCCGGGGGGCCAAACACACGGCCAGGCTCACCATAGCCATGCGAGGCGAGGTCGAAGCAGAACTGTGTGTACGTGGAGCGCATGGACCACAGCCCGTGGCTGAACAGCACCACCGGCAGGCGCCCCTCGGGATTCCCCTTCTCTTCCCCACTGCTGGTGGCGTCGGCGCGGGGGTGAGTGAGGTGGCGCAGCAGGGAGGCGGGGGAGATGAGCGGGCGCGCGGGGAGACAGCGGATGGCGGCGTATGGCTTGATTAGCAGGTACGTGATGCCTGGTGGTGGGGGGTGGTGGAGAGAATGGGCGGGTGGGTGGAAGTTGTGATGTGAGTTGACTCAAAGCGGGCAGTTTGCGGGATAAAAGGCGTAAATTAGGAGTCAAGACAAAGATATTGTGTTGATAAATGACTCCGAAAGGAGAAAGGGACGAATATAAGAAGGGAAGAAAGGAAGCATGGAAGGAGGGAAGGCGGAAAACACGAAAGGAGGACGGGAAGAAGGGACAGAAGGAAGAATGAAAGACGGGGAGAAGGGATGAAGGGAAGACGGGAAGGGAGAGCAGAAGGCATAGCGGCGACAGAAAGAAGAGGAGGAGGGCCTCACGGGAGAGCAGCCAGGTGAGGATGGAGGCGAAGAAGGAGAAGGGCGGAACCATGGCGCAGATGTAGCCGTACAGGTACGCCACGTGCGGCAGCCATGCACTGCGCTCCACCTCCCGCCTGCCATCGCGCACGGACGCGTTTGCACACACGCAGCACGGACAGACAGTCGCACACGGATTCAGCATGGCTCTTGATATTAGTGGTACACGCAATTAATGCCTCTTGAATCCGTCCGTGAAAGCATTATCACAAATACTGTTTCTGTCATCCACCCATCCATCCAATTCCTTCCCATCCCATCCAGCACGGGATTTGCAAGACCACGCACTTTCTGCCAATAACCCGTCATCCCTATGACACCACGAATCTGCTCTGAGTGTAACACAGCAGATTCCGCCGTGCTACAGTGAGATACGCCTAGTACAGCATTCTCGCACCCCAGTCCAACCAGATCCAATCCAATCCAGTCAAACTCCTTTAAAAGTCAATCCCTGCCTACCTCTCTTCAGCGTTGCCATCCGTAGGGTAGTACACGCGGAACAGCGGCGGGTGCACGTGATTCCCGTGACCGCGTTCGTAATTCCCTGCGCTCGACTCGGCCGGCGCTTTGCTTCGGCGCAACTCGAAGTCCCCGTACGACACGTGGAACGGACCCAGAGGCTCGGGAAGAACCATGGGGAGAAACGGCGGAGGGTCTTCACTGGAAGAATCCGATAATTGGGCGAACAGGGACCTGGATCGGATCTGATTGGTCGGCGGGTTTCCACGCGGCGGCGGGCGTCGAAATGGGAGACTCGTCTGGCGGAGAAAGGACGCGGCGCGTCGAGGCACGTGAGAAGAGACGAGACGAGAAGAGAGTGACAAGCCACGGGCGGTCGCAAGGCGGCAAAATGCGACGCTAATGCTCATTGAACTGAGGCATTACTTGCCACAGACCCTGGCAAACCGAGAGGAATAGTTGGCACAATGCTCTTCCACTTGACGTTTGGCATGAGTATTACCTGCAGAACCGTTCGGGCACTGGTGAGTGGTGGTGCTGCTGTGCTTGGCACTGTTCTCGAGTGTTCTGTGTTGTAACCCATTTGCTTCGCGACGGTGACGAAACCTACATATTCCTCGTCACTCGTCATCAGGCGTCTCTGGCCCTGAGATTTCCTGGCTGGTAACATTCGGTGAGTTTATGAATTGTCGCCGATGCCCGCTCTGCCTGCCTAGAAGGAACAGTATCCACCAACGAGGACGCCCCTTGAGCCTTTCTGATCGTGTTGACCTGTCTTCCATGTGAGACTGCCACGTAGCGGGTACACCGACAGTCTGCTTCGAAGCTCGCAAGCTAGGGAAATTATATAAGAGGTCACAATTACGCCCGTTTTATCACGTTTGGTCTCAGGTGTATCACGAACAGTCACAGTACAGTAGATTTCTATCGCGGGTGATCACAGTGTTATCAGGGATGGTCACACCTCGCCCCGAAAGGCTATCACTTTTGGTCACAGATGAAATACCCAATCGAAACTTGTAACTACTCGAGTCACTGTAGGGATTCAGGGGAAATCTTTGATGTGCGCGTCGTTTTGTCTGTAGTATTACGAAAGAGTTTCGCGACAACTCGGGTAACTCGTTAAAATCATCTGCAATTTCTATTTAAAACGACCCGAGTAATTGCAGATGATTTTAACGAGTTACCCGAGTTGTCGCGAAACTCTTTCGTAATACAACAGACAAAACGACGCGCGCATCAAAAATTTCCCCTGAATCCCTACAGTGACTCGAGTAGTTACAAGTTTCGATTGGGTATTTCATCTGTGACCAAACGTGATAGACCTGCGGGGCAAGGTGTGACCATCCGTGATAGCACTGTGATCACCCGCGATAGAAATCTACTGTACTGTGACTGTTCGTGATATCCCCATGACCAAACATGATAAATCGGGCCTAATTGTGACTACCAGTATAATTTCCCCGCAAGAAACCTGGGCTGTATGGAATTTTCCCAAATTCTCCTTGGGGTTGACTGGTTGGCTACAGCCCCGATTTTCGGACTCTACACGTTAGGGCGTATAACTTTTTCTCCTTTCATCGTCGGGACCGATGCCCCGTCCAGACCTTTTTAGGGACACTTTTTTGCCACAACTCGTCAACAGCTTCGTAATAACCTCTGCGACGCCGCCACCGTCCGGACCATTTCTCACACTTTTCACCCCAAAAATGGTCCGAACTACACTGCTTACACCATCCGAACAACATTTGGACCGTTCGTTTTTACTGCGCTGTCATTGGAGCGCGAATCTGCTGAATTTTTTATCATGTACAGAGCCGCATATTCTTTGTGACGAAACTTACGATGCTCCTCGATCGTAGTAATGCGTGTTCGAAACTCAAAATTTTTTGCCTGATTTTTTTCATCGAAACTCAAAATTTTCGATAGTGCAAAAAGTTTCACATTAGTGGTCCGGGCCCGCTTTCGTCCGGACCTGGGTCCCAAACGTCCGGACGCAGCTCCGTTCGGCCATTTTGGGGGCTCCTCCGGACTTTTGACGAAAACGGAAAAGGTTACACGCCCTCAGGCTGACATCAACGATGCCGAGGCTCCTCGCGTCGCCTTCGGCTTTTCCCTTCGCCAAACCTCAACACAGCCTCGCTCATCCGATATTCCCTCCTAGCTAGGCTAGCCCCTACATTAGTGTGTGCCTTCATTGTTCTCAGTTCGTTCAATCACAATCTCGTTATTCGATTATCGGTGCACGCTCTTTTACAGCACATAACATGGGCTGTTTATTCATGGGCATTTGCCCGTAAAGCCCTGAATATTCCGAGCAAACTTCAGCCCATTTTCAGAACTGGGATTTAATTCTAGCAAAGTGTTATAACTTCAATTGACTTCAATTGGATGAGAAAACTAGGATTGCACTATCGAAACAAAGCAGTATGGTAACGGTAACGAACGAAATGTGGGGTGCGCGACGGGCCTGGAGCCGAGGTTGAGAATTGTCGAGGCAGAGGAACTGACCAATCAACAGTCAGCTTCTAGTTTTCCTACGATATATGCATTTTACCTGTCACAACAGATTTCAAATGACATACCCTGTCACACCAACATTTCCACTAGATTCGCCCTCTGCGCAAAGTCTCCATTACGCAAAATTTGACCTGTCATAGGAGGCATTGTAAAAGAAATCCGTCCTATTGTAGAAGTGATTCAGCTTGTTACATTGAAGATTCGCATGGTCATATCAAAGATTCGCCTTGTCAAAGCAATGATTTCGACGTGTCACAACCGGAAATCATGCTATGCTCTGTTTCAGTTCCAAAAAAACCGCAAAACACATGCGTGATGGATAAGATCAAACAAAAAACCATTTCTGATCAATCAGATAACATAAAAAAAAAAAAACAAGGAAAAAAAAACGTTTGGAAATTTAGAAAAAAAAACAGATACAAATCTCTAATAGCGAGAACCCTGACCTAAGCGCGCGCTACCTGTTAGAATGTTATGTTTGTCTAGCCTGCAGTGGGAAACTTTATAGCGAGTACAGCCCAAATTAGGGTTTGCTATATGTACTCAACTGCCTGCTAGTGAAAACCCTCTTTCCTGTTTCTGATTCCTGCCTAGCTTTCTTGACATGCTATCAGAGCAGGTCGACCCTCCTGGGTCGATCCTGTGGGTGGTCCCGCCCGATGCTTCCGCTGCTGTCCTGCCTATCGCACGCCCCGGGCGCGCGATGTTTCCTGCCTGCCGTGCGCTCAGGGCGCGCGACGTTTTTTCTTCCCGCCGCGCGCCCTGCCCCGTCGACCCGCGCGTCGCCCCCCGTCGCCCGTCGCGGCGCCCCCGGGGACCCGCGCGTCGCCCCCCGTCGCCTGACGCGGCCCGCGCGCGGCCCGTACAGCCCGCGCGCGGCTCGTCGGCCTGCGCCAGGCCCGTGCGCGGCCCGTACTGCTTGCGCCGGAGCCGCGCGCCGTCCCGCTTCAGCGACGAGCGCCATCTCCCGAGCCGCTGCCCGCGCACCGCCCCCCGCTGCTGCCTGTGTTAGGGTTTGGGGGTGGCGAGTGTGGGGGTGGCGAGTATGGGGGTGAAGGTTGTGTGCGCCAACCCCTGCTCCTCCTCCGTCTCCCACTGCTGCAGCTGCCGCTGAGGGGGGTGGATGTGTTGGAGCCGTCGGAGTGGTACGAGGGGGGTGGATGTGTTGGAGCCGTCGGAGTGGTACGAGGGGGGTGGCGTGTGAGCAGTGCTAGAGGTTCAATAGGGGGTGTGTGAAAGGAAGGGGTGTGGGACAGCTGGGGAAAGTTGAGTGGAGGCAGCCGCCTTGTCGTCCGCTGCGCCTTTAGTCCAGGGCTCTGCGCCTGGTAGCCCAAAGAGCCTGCTGCACCTGTCGCCCGTGGGTCCGTTGCTCCTGCCGCTCGTCTTAGCGCGGAGCCAGTTACTCCTGTAGTCCGGGGCTCTGCGCCAGGTAGCCACAGTGTGCGCGCTCTTGTTGCCCGTGTGTCTGCAGCTTCAGCCGTCGCCTCCCATCTTCTCGCCCCCACAGTCTCTCCTCCTCCTCACTTGCCCTATGTGAAAGCTTATAGTTTTGCTTATAATTGTGAACTATTGCTCTGCCTGCTTGTTGTGCTGATTATACCCCACTTTGGCTATGGGGGTGTGTCAGAATGTGATGTTTGTCTAGCATGCAGTGGGGTACTCTATAGCGAGTATAGCCCAAATTAGGGTTTGCTATATGTACTCAACTGCCTGCTAGTGAAAACCGTCTTTCTTGTTTCTGATTCCTGCCTAGCTTTCTTGACATTACCAACCAAGCCGTGGGGGTGGGTCTCGATGTGAACAGTCGCAGGAAGGCGAGTGTTGCAAATGGTTATGGTTTATTGTTGGGCACTGCTGGCAGGAACAGTCGTGAACGCGGTAAGCAGGGGCGTGAGGTAAAAATATAGTGTTTCTATTGTCTGAGGTCCACTGGAGATCCCCGATTGATCCTAGGGAAGGGTTAGAGGCATGTCGGCCGGGGGGTGAATGGGCGCACTCACCCGCTACACAAACAAGCCCTTTTATCCCAATGGTTAGTGGCTGGGATTCTGACATATTTTGCTTAAAGAAGGTTGTGTTTTGTTGCCAGTGACCTGTCAGAAATAACTGAGCAGGAATGAATGAACTAGAACAGAGTTTGGTACAAGTAGGAAACCCTAACTTTGTGTACCCCCTAAGGTGTAACCCACTACAGCCTAGACAATATAAACATGCAATGTTTGACACACCCCCATAGGCGCAGTGGGAGACAACCACAGGGTCACAAGACCAGTCAAAGCAAAGCACAGCAAGCTCAGGGTGGATCTCAAGGATTCCACACAAATTCCGAGCACAAGCAAGCGGTCACAAGACCAGTTCACATGCAGGTTTATAACAAAGCAAGAGATACAGTGATCACAACCTAGCAAAAGTAAACAAGTAGGCATATATATATAGTGATCACAGTACAAGCAAGGTCAAGAGGTAAGCAAGTGAGGCCCAGTAGGTACAAGGCCTAGTAGAGTGCAAAAGCGCTGATGGTCACAAGGCTGAAGCGCCTTGGTGAACACATCAGCAGTGTTGGCCTCCGTGGCCACGTAACGCAGACAAAGCTGACCACGCTGCTGCAGCTCTCGAGCAAGGAAGTACCGCAGAGCGATGTGCTTCGTTCTGTGCTCCAGTCTGTGCTCCTCACACAAGGCAATGGCAGCCTTGTTGTCAACGTACAGCACTGGAGGAGAACGAGGCCGCTCTCCGAGGTCGGTCAGCAGGTAGGTCAGCCAGCGTAGCTCCTGAGCAGCCATGGCTGTGGCGTAGATCTCAGCCTCACAACTGGAGCTGAGAACAGAAGAAGAGCGAGTAGAACGCCAAGAAACTGAGCCAGAGCCAAGGCTGAAGGTGTAACCCTGGGACGACCGCTGAGTAGCCTGGTCGTCTGCCCAAGAAGCGTCTGAGTGCCCTGTGAGAACAACCCGGTCTCGCCCTCCAAGCACAAGCCCCATGCCCGACGTACTGCACAAGTAGCGCAACACCCTCTTAGCAGCATCCATGTGCTCCTTCCGGTGACGGCCAGGAGCGACATAGCGTGCTAGGATGCTAAGAGGGTATGCAAGGTCAGGTCGAGTGCAGGTCATCAGGTACATGAGGCAGCCCACAAGCTCTGGATACGGGCCACTCGGCTCTACGGACTCATCCGAAGGCAGAGCTGAGAGCGAGTGACCGGTAGGCAGAGGAGTGGACTGAGGCGAGGAGTACGTGAAGCGGAAGCGCTGGAGGACCTGCTGCACCATGTGTGACTGAGTCAGGGTGATGGTGCGCCGTGCTCTGTCCCGGGTGATCCGCAAGCCAAGATAGCTCGTCAGCTCACCCAGGTCTGTGCACGTGTGTCTCCTCTGCAGCTCCGACTTCACGTGAGCGAGTGCCGCGGTGTCAGCAGTGGCAAAGACCAAGTCGTCGACGTACACGAGGATGTAGAAAGGCGGCAGCGAGGTGTCGGTGCGTAGAAACAGCGACGGGTCAGCAGTAGAGGGAGCGAACCCAAGAGCCGCAAGTGTCGTCCTCAGTGTGTCGTGCCACTCACGTGGCGCCTGGCGGAGACCGTAGACCGGCCGCTGAAGCCTCCACTGGGTGCCAGGAGGAAATGACCCAGTGAAGCCAGGGGGGCGGCGCAGCCAGATCTCCTCGTGCAGGCTGCCCTGCAAGAAAGCAGTGCTGAAGTCAAGAGAGTGAAGCTCGTAGTCGCGGTGAGCGGCTATGTGCAGCAGCACCCGAAGAGTAGTCATCTTCGGGGTGGGGGAGAAGGTCTGAAAGAAGTCTACTCCCTCTCGCTGACTGAAGCCTCGAGCCACGTAGCGCGCCTTGAAGACAGGTGGAGAACCCGGAGGCCGCTTCACCCTGAAAATCCACATGCCACTGACGATGTTCGCCCCAGGAGGGGGAACCTCGTCTACGTAGGTGCCTGTGGACTTCCAGGAGGCCATCTCTGCGTCCATGGCTGTCTGCCACTGAGAGGAGTAGGGACCCGCCATCGCCTCAGCGTAAGAGCGTGGGGTCGGGATGTCTGGTGCATCCGGGTCTCCCTCAGGGGCAACTAGCAAGGACACGAGACGGGGCAAAGCAGCAGCAAGGCAGTGGAACTCCTCCTGTCTGTCCTCAAGGACGTCCGTGCCGAGGGCACACTCACCCCC